GGGGAACAGTCCTAGCGTTTTTTAGTTTTTTCAAAAAATGAGATTTCCATTCGTCTGGTTGTTGGCGGTTCTTTGGCCGATAGCTTGCAGACAGGCGTGCGAAGCTTGCGGTGAGTGTGGGGGGGACGGTCTTGTGGAGGGAAGGAAGTCCCCCTGGATTGCTGTCCGCAGTGCTGTTTTCTTGCTCTCCAAGAGGACTGTGTTTTGTCAACTTCAACAAACAGTGACTTTCTAGCACGATCCTGCGTGAAATTCTTTTTGAATTCTAAAGGTCAGGATTTAGCGCCTAGGTGCCGGGCATCTCGTATCTGTTACTTCAGTGTCAAATGAGCACAGAAACTGAAGTTTGTTGTTTGAATGACGTGCTCTACCTAAGCGGAAGGTAAGCCGCAAACCAAGGATGTGTTTGAGCCCGAAACCCAGAATTCACATATCTGTAAGAACCAGGTCGAGGACACAGAGCTCTCGAGGCCCTTCCGCCTTTGGCCAGTTCGAGATGTGGGTGACCCTGTCTCTCTCTCGGAGGCTTGGTTTCTTTGTGAACGGGGATAACGCCAGCGTCTGCCTCGGTGCAGTAAATATCACCGCTAAGCCCTGGTGTAAGTCGTTAAGAATCTCCCAACGCCTCTGTTATAGGAAACGTGGATAGTTTTGAGGTTAGGGAGCTAGAGAGGCTGGGCAGGTGGACACGGGCAGTTGTCACCTGTGGGGAGGGGGAGAGAGAGGTCCCAGGAACACCCGTGAGCTGCTACCCGCCCTGTCGGGCCAGTTGAGGTGGGTGCAGAGTAGACTCTCGCTTTCCACTGCTGCCCTCCCTCTCCCCTGCTCCCTGCCCAAGACCCTTCCTTCCACCCACCTGCGGGCAAGCTGGTCATGAAAGTGCGGGCTCCACAGTTGGGCTGTGTCACCTGGTTTCTCTGTGCTCGTTCTGAGGGAATCAGCAAATCCCTGTGCAGAACTTGTGTATGTTTTGCACAAACCGTGGGCTACTCATAGCTTCTAGGTGTTTTTAGAAGACATCATGTGAGCTCTGCCACCCCAATGGGGTCAGCCTTTGGGAGACGAATACCATACCGGAAAGAGAGGTGAGCCGGCAGTCGGGAGACCCAGGTTCTACCCCCAGAGCTGCTGTGGGGCCGGTTCGGCTGTGGGACAAACGGAGGTCCCTTCAGTGGCCCAAACGTTAGGTTCTTTACTTTCCGAATGGGTCTGCTGAGATAGTGGTGAAAGCCACCTTAAGGTAATGTTGAGGGATGAAGGGGTCAGCTTGCAGTCTGGACGTGGGTCCTCTGTGTTTCAAGAGAGCATTCTGGAAGGTAGGTTCCGTGAAGTCGGTGGAGCTCTGTGTGTGTGGGCCTCTGGGAGAGCCCTGCGCAGGGCGTGGTCAGTGCGCCCCTCCCCCTGGGGCCTTTCTGTCCGTCGGCACTGGCACTTTGCTCCTCGTCTGCTCCGGTCGCTCGTGTTGTTGCTTCCCGGGCTCTTGGGCCAGGCCCCAGGCCTGGGATTCTTGTGGCCAGTGTCAGTCGGTAAGTGACGTTTAATAAAACCAGGTGCGGTGGCAGGGCGCCTGGGTGGCTCGGTAGTTTAAGTGTCCACTTTGACTCAGGTCGCGATCTCGTTTGTGAGTTCTGGCCCCGCCTCAGGCTGTCTGCTGACAGCTCAGAGCCTGCTTCGGATCCTCTGTCTCCCTCTCTCTACTCCTCCCCTGCTGGTTCTCTGTGTCTCTCAAACAGATAAATTAAAAAAAAAAAAAAATTTCAGTGATGACTGTACGGAGCCCACCGCGGCTGCCTGGGCAGGGATACCAGGCTTTGCCAAGAGCTCTCAGACCTCTTGGGGAGAAGAGGAGGAGGAAGGCGGGGTGTTCCCCCGCGTGCCCCATGTGGTGCGGCACATTGTAGAAGACACGGTAGCCCTGACACACGGTGCTGCTTTGTGACCCCCGACCGCACGTCGGGTCAGGAGACCTGCGTCCCTGGCCACCTCAAATCTGGGCCCTGAGGAAGCTGTGCGGGATAGAGAGGAAAACACCCGTAGCCCAGGGGCTCTCCGTGAAAGACTGAATTCAGGGTCATACAGACTGCACTGGCTTCACGTTGAAGCGCCGGACAGAGAGCATAGGCGAGTAGATAAGGCAACATCCGAGTGTTGGCTGGAAGGTGGAGCTGATTTTCAAACACCTCGCTGGCTGTTAACATCAGAACTACCATTTCTATGGCACCCGCTTGTGGAGTTGCCCTTGGCCCACCGAGGATTCTGTAGGATTTTCGTTTTACGCTGTACACCGTGTCTCGTTTTGGGTTACACGAAGTGGTAAAGAGAACAGAGGAAACGCGACAACGAGCTTTGTCGTGGGCAGTGGCGTGCGCAAGCATCTTACCTCACGTGACCGCAGCGTTAGCGCCGAAGACTGACGTGAGAAAGGCCGAAGAGATTCTCGGGTGTCGTATTTGCCTGGGGTCTTGAGAGTTACCTGCAGAAAATCTCGTCATTCGCTGAAGAAGGCGTATGTTTCGTGTGCCTTGGAGGGAGACCAGCCCCGGGCGCGTTGAGGTCGAGGCTGGGTGTCGTGTGGAGGCTGGAGACGCAGCAGACGCTGCGGGCGGGGCCCGGGACACGCGTCGGGACCGTGCGGGTCCAGGTCACCTTCGGCTCGTGGAAGAGGAAGTCTCGGAGGCGGGGACCCCACTCAGGGGCTCCAACGGCACGGCTGCGGTGTCCCTTGCACTCTGTGGAGACCCGGCAAAGGCCGAGCAGGAGGGAGGCGTCCTGGTGGAGGCGAGCAGCTTGCGGAAGACCGGCGTGCGCCACGTCTGCTGACACGACGCCCTGCCCGGGAATGGCTTTGTTCCCCGTCGTCCTTCCGGCCTTGGTGGCAAGGGCGTCCCCTCGGTCACGGCTGGGCTCTAAGAGCGAGCCTGGCCACTGTGGCGTCGGACGTGGAGGGCGTGTGCTACGAGGGGCACAGAAGCAGCCCCTGTCTCGACCGTGGCATGTTGTGACCGGAGGTGGCCAGGTGAACGGACCGGCGTGTGTCATGCTCGGCCTCTGAAAGATCCCTGTCCCCTCTCACCACAGACCCAGGCCACGAGGAAGTGTTCCGGTGCCTGGAGACGCGCTTCCGTCCGCGGACACTGGAACGTCTTTCTAGCTGAGGGTGGACGAAGTGCGGGGTGGCCCGCCTGAGTCCCCCTCGAGGGACGTCACGCAGCACCTCGCGGTGTGGGTCTTCTGCCAGTCTCCGCGTTCATACCTTTGGAAGGAGGCTCCCCAGACTCGGAAGGAAACGTCGAGGATAGCGAGTTAGTGCGTCTTCTGTGTCTTACCTGGTCACGTCCCACGGTTTTGTTTTCAGCGGTACATGTGCTCCCCAGTCCTAACTCTTGCCGCTGACTGCCGCGTGAGCTTGGGCATGTCACTGAACCTGCCCGTTCCTTTTTGCGTCGCAGGCTGAGGGAAGGATGTTGAGGTCAAGTTTCCTCCGTCCTGAAATCCGTGGATTTTTCAGCTCGGTATGTAGTAAAAATACAGAAGCATCTGTGACGCAGGCGTCAGCCACCGTGGTGTTGTGTGGCTCTAGGGGAGGATGCCGGGGTTTGGAATAAGAGGCTTGGTTCTAGCTGCCCAGAGGCCTCGGGGCTTTCATGCTTTTGGAGTCTCGGTCTCCCCGTTTCTGAAATGTGGATAATAACCGCACACTGTGAAGACAGAAAGGAGTAAAGCGTTCGAACGTGCTGTAAAGGTGCCGTAGAAATCCACACTCCTTTCCTGGTCCAAGCAGCTGCACCGTGGTGTGCCTGCCAGGCCACTGTCCCTGTGCCTCAGCGTTCCCATTCGGAAGGCGGGCATCGTCTCCCGTTCCGGTGACGTGAGGGGCGTGAGCGATGGTGCCCTGGACTCCTGCAGAGACGTGGTCGGGGGGGGGGGGGGGGGTACATGCAGGAGGCAGACGGCCTAGCTCGTCCCGGCGGGGATTGGGCCGCCACAGCCGGCAGACCCCGGCCGCACGTGTGCATTTGTCAGGTGCACGCTCTGGAGGGCAGGCCGTGGCCAGGGTTGATGATTTGGAGATGGGGGAGGAGGCCGTTAAAGTTGTCTCACTCAGGGGTGGCACAGGGCTGGCCTGGGAACGGGGAGAAGCTGGGCGGCCCCTGGGCAGCTGGAGGACTGGGGCACAGAAGCAGGTTGAGAGGGAGGGTGGGCTCTGTTCTGGAGGCACTGGGCTTCGGGGCCTGGCGGGGGGCCTCTGACCTGCTCTCCTGTGGTGCCCCAGCTCTCGTCAAGCGTCCGCTGTGAGGCCCGGTGCCAGGCCTGGGCACAGAAAGGTCAGAGCCTGTTCTTGCCTTCTGCGACCTCGCCGTTGGGATCCTTCTCTTGTACGTTTTTTTTCTAGGTTTGTTTGTTTGAGTTTTAAGTGTTTTTATTTATTTCTGAGAGGGAAAGCGTGAGTAGGAGAGGGCAATGAGAGAGGGAGAGAGAGCGAATCCCGAGCTGGCTCCACATCATCAGCACGGAGCCCGACGTGGGGCTTGAACCCACGAACCGTGAGATCCTGACCTGAGCCGAAGTCGGAGGCTCAAACCGGCTAAGCCACACGGGCGCCCCTCCCTCCAGGTTTCTTGGACGCTGACTTCTCGTCTCTCAGGCTCTCGCTTTCTCTGTGGCCTCGCTTGGGGCGTGGGCCTTGGTCCTCTGCGCGCATCCACTCCCAGCCCTGAGAAAGCCCCCATACCCAACCCGGTCTTGCTCACGGCGGTCTTCTCTTCCCCCTGCGGCAGCTCCCCTCTGTCCTCGCTGGCTTCCCTCTCCCCCTTCACGCGTCGCTCTTGGCATCTGAATGTTTCTGCACTGGAGGTGGTGTCTCCCGGGGGCCCAGCGTCACGGTCTGCCACAGTGTCTCTGCTCCTGCGTCTTGTTTCTGCCCGCGGCTGAGGGCTTGAATGAGCCGGGATGAGGCGCCCTCCGTCCTCGGCTGGAATTTGGGGGATGGGCCAGACAGCATGTCCTCTCCCGATGAAGCTGTGCGATTCTACTTGACTTTCACGAAGCAGTCGAGGTCTCGAGTGATGGTCAGCAAACATTAGAAATGGTTACTTGGCGTGATTTGCTTTGTTTGTTGAACAAGAACGTTCAGACGTTCGCTTTACTCTGCGCTCTGTCCCTGAGGTTCCTTTCTGCTCGGAAGCGCTTCGGTCCTGTTGGCCTTCAGGCTTCGCTCCCCTGGTCTGGAGTGTCCCCGGCACCGTGATCGGGGACCTGTCGCGAGAGCTGGCGGGCTGCCCGCGTCGTAGACCGCAGAGACGCGCATGTGACTTCCAAGCACACGCAGCCCAGCACCAGGTGTGGGCTGGCGGAGCCGGCGGCCCGGTGCACCGATAGGCCTGCCGGGCGGGTCGCTCTTGTTTTGGAAAAAGAGCTAAGCGAGCGTTTCGCCACAGGTTGAAAAGGACTCTGAAATCCTTTGTTGTGGGTGGCGCAGGGGCGATCGGCCAGCCCTTCCTCGGGTCGCTACACCTCAGGAATTACAGGCTCCAGAATCAGCCACGAGTGCCTGGGTTTCAGGGTGTCGGTGCCCTGGCGGGAGAAGCGCCTCCGGCTCTACAGGGCGTGGTGTGAAGCCAGGTGTCCCGGCAGGTGTGCTCGGAGGTCGCCGCCTGTCAGAGACGTCCTGGGGGGTGTTGGGTTTGTTCGCTAGGTCACATCTTGGGTTTGGTTTGGTGAGGAATGGATGAAGTCAGATGTGCGTGGCGCACACCCTCAGCCCCCTGGGAGGAGGGAGGACGCCCGGGGGACGGTTCTCTTGTGCGCGTGGGCGGCGCAATGAGTGGCAGGCACACGGGCCGCGCTGGGAAACCCTGACTGTGTCTTCCCCTCCGACAGCGTGCTTGGGACCGTGGGCATCAAGCTCCCGGACACCACGCTGGCACTTCCTGCCACGGTAGAAGTAGTCTGTGCTGTCTCGCACAGGGGCCACTAGCCACTTGGGGACACTGACCGCTAGAAACGTGGCTGGTGTGACCGAGGATATGAGTTTTGTGTTTTATTGAGTTTTAAATAGCGTGTGTATAGGGTCTCTCGTGGTAGCGGCAGTGACTTGGACAGGGCAGCAGTGACGAACGGCGGTTTCTGGGCCCCAGTCTTGTTGGCTTCTGAAGTCCCTGAACTTTTGCACACTTTTCCACGTGAGAGAATCCCAGCCATTCTGCGTAGCCGCGTGATCTTTCTGCATGTGTGACAACGCATTCTGCTTTCTGGGGGCTGACTCGTGGGGAAAATGCTCCTTATTTCGGCACAGCGACACGGAGCCGCGGTCCGGCAGACCTCTTGGTGCGCAGTGACCCTGCCTCCCCCCGTCCCTCAGGCCACCCCCGCTCCACGCCTCGTGTTTCTCCAGGGTAGTCTTGGCCAGCGGAGATGGATCAGTGGGCTTAAAGTTTTGCACGTCCTGTGCTTTGCTGTGAACGCCCCGTCTTTGCCCCGGATCTGGAGGCGCACGCCTGTCGAGGGGGTGAGGCGGGCATAGCCTCGCCGGGAGGCCCTGCCTGAGCGAGCGGGGAGGCGGCCTCCCTGGACAAGCCTACGATCATCTCACCGGGAAAGCATTTCACGATATTCAGCGTTGGTTTCGCTTTTGCTTTCCCAAGTGCTTTTATCTTTATGGTCTTACTTTACCCCCGTCCCCAGCCGTTGAGAGTTTGCATTGCTCCCCACCGATGATCCTGCAGGTCCCTGGGGGAGAGTCCGGCTATCGTGGGTGTATGCGGGGGCTTCCCTTCTCTCTGAGGAAGGAGCCAGATAGGTGGGAGGAATGGGCTAGGTCGTAAACGTGTTCTATCGGTGACCCTTGCCCCTCGCGGATTGCCTGCATTCCCCCGGGAGTGCCGAGCCGTCACACTTCGCCGTGCTCTTCCCGTTCAGCGTGCGTTCCCGGGACTCGTCACTGTTGCTGGCAGAGCACCTGCGGGCTTGTCCGGTCACTCTGGAATGTCAGATTTTGTCGGTGGAAGTTGTTCAACAAAGAGGACCTTTGAGATCTTTTAAAGGTTCCTTTAAAGGCATCAAGTGATTTGCATTCTGAAGTATGGGTTGTTTCTAAGAGAAGGTGGTATTTCACACATGCTTAAATGTTTTCTCGAGTTTGAATTTCACTGCGTTCGTTTGGAAAGACCAGAATTACTTCACCCCAGACATATCTGAGAAAGAGAGACGCTGTGACATGTGACGTGTGTTTTCAGGTCACGGGGCAAAGGGCGGTCTGCCTCCGGTGGGGACGTTGTGCTCTCTTATTGGGTCCACGGAAACCTCGTTCTGCTTTCGCTCTCCGTAAAAAGATTGGAAGGAGTCAGGTCAGGTCAGCATGAGGTCATCGGTGAACAGCCCCACCGGGCAAGTGGTGGGTCCCAGGTGCCGTCCCGCGTGGCGCCACCCTTGACGCGGGTGCCGCGGGGCGTCCCCGAGCCCTGCAGCCTTCAGAACAGATCACTGTATAGTTCTTTCTCTCCAAGGAGCCGACGGTGGCGGATCGTCGTCCGGAAATGGGTCTGGGGCCGCCCCTGCCGCCCCTGCCGCCCCTGCCGGGGGCTCCCGCTCCTCTTCCCGGAACTTGGGGTCATCAGGCGGTGAGAAGGAAGAAGGCAAGAAGGCCCGGCGGCAGTGGGAGTCGTGGAGCACAGAGGACAAGAACACCTTCTTCGAGGGGCTGTACGAGGTGAGCTCTGGGGCCAGGACAGGCGGCACGGCCAGCCTCTCGCCTCTGTCCGCGTTTCCCTGTTTGCCTTTGCCTCGCTAGCCACGTGGCTACCAGATCTCTTAGCTCAGCAGCTCGGTGGGGAGCCCCTGGAGGGCTGCAGGCGTGGGTCCCCGAGACCCATGCCTCGCCATGGACCTCGCCCTTTGTCCTCACCGTGTGACTTTAACAGCCGGTTAAGAGTGAGGTGGTTGTTAGGAAGCGTCTCTGTTGGATTCCTTTCCTTCTCTTCCAAGAGTCTCTCCATTGTCTCAGGAACATTCTCTCCTGAAGAGCACTGTCCTGTCCCTGTGTCTTCCCTGTGCAGTTGAGTGGGCTGACTCGGGAGGCTTGGTTGGTCCCTGACAGGGAGGGACAAGGGGACACTTGGCACATCAGTCAGAGCAGGCAGCTCAACCCTGAGAGATGTCACAGCTGACCTGGGACAGAGTGGAAAGTCCTAAAAATAGAAGCTGCCCCCCCAGCCCCCACCCCATTCCCAATCCCAATGTCCAAAGAGAGGCTGCCGTGCTCCCTGCTGTGCTCCCCACTGTGCTCCCTGCCAACCTTTCTCACTTCTCTGTTTTGCTTTCCCAAATATTTGCAACCGTAATGGACGTACTCTTTTTACTTTTATTAAAAAATTTTTTTTCAACATTTACTTTATTTTTGAGAGAGAGAGAGAGAGAGAGAGAGAGAGAGAGAGAGAGAGCATGAGCCGGGGAGGGGCAGAGGGAGAGGGAGACACAGAATCCAAGGCAGACTCCAGGCTCTGAGCTGTCAGCACAGAGCCCGATGAGGGGCTCAAACCCAGGAACCGTGAGATCATGACCTGAGTCAGCATGGCTCGAACTCATGAACCATGAGATGGTGACCTGAGCCGAAGTTGGACGCTCCGCCGACTGAGCCACCAGGCGCCCCAGACATACCGTTTTTACTAATCTCAAGTACCTTTCCGTGGTACGTTATAGTTTTTTTTGCTCGGTATACTGTTAACGCCTAAAAATATTCTACTTCACGTGCGAACAAACCGGCTTGCGTGCTCACTGTTTTTATAAATGAAGTTTGACTGCGACGCAGCCACACCCATTCACTTGTACGTGGTTTCTGGCCGCTTTTGACTACAGTCACCAAATCGAGCAGTGACAGCAGACACTAGTGGCTTGCAGCACTTCAGTGCTTACCCTCCATCCAACCCTTGCTCTGTTTGACCGTCCTCGTGTTGTTGATTAGGGTGGTTCCTTCCGGATTCCGTGATGAGTAGTGCTGGAGTGAACGTCCGTGTACGTGCGGTGTTGTACGTTGCCTCATTGGGGTGCGGTGTCACGAGTGGGTTGCTCAGTCAGCGAGCCTGATGCCTTTGTTTTATTTTTTTTTTAACTTTTTCCGTGTTTGTTTATTTTTGAGAGAGAGAGAGAGACAGAGTGTGAGCAGGGGAGGGGCAGAGAGAGAGAGAGACACAGAATCTGAAGCAGGCTCCAGACTCTGAGCTGTCAGACAGAGCCCAACGCAGAGCTCAAAGCCCCGAACCTTGAGATCATGACCTGAGCTGAAGTCGGAGGCTTAACCCCCTGAGCCACCCACGTGCCCCGAGCCTGATTCCTTTAATAGCGAAGTAATGGGAGTGATGGAAGAGTCTTCCCAAGCCTGGCAAACAGGGCTCATGGCAGAAAGGGGCTTTGGAGCTGATACGCCCAAGTGTCCTTGGAGAGATTAGAGCCGCGCGGGGGGAAGACTCCGTGCCGATGGCAGAATATTCCCCTGGCTGCCCTTCTCCCTCCGGGGAGTGCTTCGGTTCTGCTGTCCCTGTTGGAGGAGACCACTGTGTCCATGCCGAGGGACTCAGTCGTCCGGGGAGATCACGGAGTGTGTATTTGAGGCTCGTTCTGCCAGGTGCAGAGTCCCTCACACAGGTCAAGTGTGTTCTTTCCCTCCCCGTGACGGTTTCAGAGCACGGCACGGGCTGGTTTTGTATACTCCCGTCCCCAGACTAGGCCTCCCTGAAGTTGTGTGTTAGGCGTAGAAGACCGGAGGGCCGAGGACTGGCCTTGAATGTGTAGCTGACCCTCACCTGAAACCTTAGCTGCTTTGGTGTGGCCCCTCCTTCCCGGGGGGTGGCGGGGGGTGCAGCTCTGTGGGGGTCTGGCTGCCAGGGTGCAGAACGAGGGCAGAAGATACGCTCGTCTGTTAAAAAGTGCGGGGAGGGTTCCCTGGCAGTGACCCGCCCCACCTGTCTTTGGGTAAATTAGTTCAGTCCCTTGTCGCTGGGCCAGCTTTCTGGTTGTACGTTTTCCGCCAGCGAGGTGTTTGAGATCTCCTGAAATCTTGGATTAACCATAATAGTTGACACTTCTGGTCACTTCATGCTTTCCACAGCTGAGACTGGGTGTCCCACGTATCGTGTGTGTTTGTGCATGAGAGAGAGAGGACGAGTGTGTGCTTTACCACTGAGCTGTGTGTCTGACGTGGGCTCGGCAGGACCCTGGCGAGGCCTTGATGTAGGGCTGACGAGCTGGGGTTGGGGGGATGTCAGAACGGCTTGGACTGAGGGGCGCGGGGGCCCCTGCGGTGTGTGTCAGTCATTCCTGCCTTTTCCACGCACACGTGGGACTCAGCTGTGCTTCCAGCGACACAGACCCAGCTCGGCACAGAGAGGCACAAGGGACTGAGCAGCTGTCATGACCGAGAGGAATGGGGAGGGGCAGTCTCAAGCCCGACCCGTGCAGGACTCTAGTGATGGCACAGAGCCTCTGTCACCCTGTGTGTGTGTGGGGGGGTGACATTTCTGTGCTGTCTCCTGTTTCAGACACTTCCCAGAGGCAGGAGTGCCACCCTCGCCGCCCACTAAACTTGGGACGGTTCCGGGAGGGACACAGACGGGCCAGGCCTGTCCCAGACTCTTCCTGTGGCAATGGGTGTGGGCCGTGGCCCCTGTCAGGGAGCTGACGTCACTGTTGCCATCCTTGACGTCATTACCCGCTCGGTGTTGGTTGGTTCTTCACAAAGCCTGTTGCCGACTTCCCGTTTTCCCTTTTCACGTTTGTGACCTTCCGCCTCAGTGGCCAGGCTCCCGTGCTTAGTTCTCCCCGGGTAGCTTGTGGGTACAGGCCCCTGCGGGACAGAGCGCGGGAGCGGTGCCAGGGTGCAAAAAAGCCGCCCCGCAGGGCCAATCTGATTAGGGAGTGTAACAGGAGCTTGAAAAGTTGCAAGTCCATGCTGACAGGCACCCCAGGAACTCGGAAGGCAGCGTCGTCTTAGAACACGGGATGGGGAATCACCAAACCCAGATTCTGGTTCCAGCCCACTGAGAGCGTGTGCCTCGTGGGTTTGGTTCCCGCCGTGCAGCGAAGCCGAGAGATGGAGAGGCCGTCTGCACGCGTTCCATTGTGGTTCTGATCAAGGGCTTTGTGAGGGGGGGTGCTGCGGAGAGCCGGGCGCCCAGAGGAGGGCATCAAAGACACCTTTTCGTGTTTTACCTGCCGTTGTGTGTGTGTGTGTTTTCAAATTTTTCAATGTTTAGTTTTGAGAGAGTGAGAGAGAGAGAGAGACAGAGCATGAGCAGGGGAGGGGCAGAGAGAGGGAGACACAGAATCCAGACGGCTCCAGGCTCTGAGCTGTCAGTACAGAGCCTGACGCAGGGCTCGAACTCAAACTGTGAGATCATGACCTGAGCCAAAGTGGGTCACTGAACTAACTTAGCCACACAGGTGCCCAAGCTGTTTTTTTAAACAATGAACGAGTTCTTTTTCAAACTTTCATTTTTCATTAAAAAAAATGCTTATTACTTAGAGTGAGAGAGGAAAGCAAGCAGGGAATGGGCAGAGGGCAGAGGGAGAGAGAGAATCCCAAGCAGGCTCCATGATGTCAGCACAGAGCCCAACACGGGGCCCCATCCCACGAACTGTGAGATCATGACCTGAGCCGAAATCACGAGTAAGATTCTTAACCAGCTAGGCTACCCCGATGCCTCTTAACTTTACATTAAAAAAAATTTTTTTTTCCACGTTTATATCTGAGAGAGACAGAGTGCGAGTGGGGGAGGTGCAGAGAGAGAGAGACAAAGAATTCGAAGCAGGCTCCAGGCTCTGAGCTGTCAGCACAGAGCCTGACGCAGGGCTTGAATTCATGGACTGCGAGATCAGACGCTTAACCGGACTGAGCCACCCAGGCACCCTTTAACTTTGAATTTCAGACTTGGAGGAAAAACTTGCAGAAAGAGGACAGAGAATTCCATATACCTTTCCCGATGTGCACGTAACCTCAGTGGGGCCAGCATGATGAGATTCGATGTGGGACCGTAGCATTTACTCACCCGCAGGTGTTACTAGGTTTAGCTAGTGTTCCCACTGATGTCCGTTCTGGATCAGGGTCTCACTTTGCATTTAGTGGACATGACTCCTGAGCACTCCATTGGGGACCTCCTTCCAGCTCTCAAGACCTGGACCCTTTGAAGACTTGTGGTCTGTTAGGTTGTGGAATGCCCCTAGCTCTGGGCTTCTCTGAGCTTTCCTTATGATTAAACACACTTTGCACTTTTGTCAAGGAAGCCACGGGAGTGTGGGCTGTCCTGGGTGCATCCTGTCCGGAATGTGTGAGGTGTTCTGTCCCATCCTCGTGGTGTGACCCCTGGTGACTGCATTCAGGTGGCACCTGTCAGGTCCTGTGCTGCCTAGTCTTTTTTTTTTTTTTTTACTTTGAGGCTACGTAAATAAATACCCCATTTTTCATTTTTTCCCCACTAACTTTAGCCACTATTGCCACTTCTTATCTGAAATAACCATTGTTACAGCGTTTTTCCATCACGATTTTCTGACTTCATTATTCCTACACTTATTAGTTGGAAATCTTATTCAAGAAAAAGCCCTTTCGTCTCCTCTGTTTAGGCGTGAATTCAGTAATTCCTTTATATGTGGATTCAGGGATATGTAGGCTAGTCTTTGGGTCACAGTCTATTCACACCACTGGTGGTTTTGTTGCCCAGATTGTGGCAGATTTGTCCACTGGGAGCCTCTTCAGGTTGCCTCCTGTGTTCTTCCCCCAAGCTCCTGTGATGCCGTCGGCACTTGCATCCGTGCACAGCAAGATATTCCAGCCTCACTGGTACTTTCCCTGCTCCTATCTCTCCAAGAGGCCCTGGTTCCTCTCGGGAAGTGGGATTTAGAAACCAAGATATGGGTGCTGGGGGTGCATAGTGCTGCTGGCATGCTGTCATCTCTGGGCCCTCCCGAGGACTCCTCACTGCCCCAGCTTCGATGGCATCTGCAGCTCCGGAACAGTGCTGGTGGTGACGGTGTTCTCTGGAGCATCAGTTCCAGTCTGAAATTCTCAGAAATTCTCAGCTTTTGCATGAAGATGTTGAAGGAAGGATGGCTCATAGATGTATTCAGAGCATATTCTGTGGTTCTCTGAGCGTTTATATTCGCGGCCCGTATTTGAGTATAGGATGCATTTTGTTTGACCAGAGCAGTGAGGATGTTTCTGGATGGTTGTATTGTTTTAAGAGGTCAGGTATACAACACTCTGAGCTCCTTCGTCTTTCTGTTCTGTGTTCGCACAATTGTCTTCATGGTGCTGTCTTCTTTCATGGTCTCTAGGGGACTCTGGGCATTAACCTTTTCATCTGAGCCATGAGCATTGTGTCCTCCTGCTCTGGGGTCCTACTCTTTGGTCTCCCGTGCTATGACGGTTTTATCCCTGAGTTTCTATTGCTGCCTTATCCATTATTCCACTTAAGACCTCAGTCTTCACGCACGTCTTTGGGGTTTCAGAAAAACAAAAAACAAAACAAAAAAACCCCTGAGGTTCTGGAGAGGCGAGGTTGAAGCTGATGCCGTGAAGGACACGTGCTTGACCGCTGCACGGTCCGTTCGGCTTTCTCCTTTCCCGGGAAGCGTCTGTGCGGTACGGAAGCCTGCCTTGTTGTAAGCTCTGTGCCTTTAACGTGCGCTTAATTTTCCAGCACGGGAAAGACTTTGAAGCCATCCAGAACAACATCGCCCTCAAGTACAAGAAGAAAGGGAAGCCCGCGAGCATGGTGAAGAACAAAGAGCAGGTCCGCCACTTCTACTACCGCACGTGGCACAAGATCACCAAGTACATTGACTTCGATAACGGTGAGTGTGCCGAGGCTTGGCTCGCGGGAGGTGGCAGGTGGGAGGCGCGGCCGGCTCCCGGTCGGAGCTGGTTTCCGGCAAACCCATCAGACACACCGCGGCGTGGTTCTCACCCGGCCCTGCTGCCAGGGCTCCCATGCCTCGCGGTGCTCCGGCTGCTGGTACCCCTGGTGACCGCCGGCCGTTTAGCTGAATGCATTCCTCGTGCTCTGGGCCTGCGTCCCCCACTGGGAGGGGAGGTCACCACAGTGGATGAGGAGAGGCGGCCACGGGTGCAGCAGGCCAGAATCGGGCCCCCCCACCACGCGCACACACAGCCAACGCCCACCCTTCTCTCCCCGATGGTGGCTCCTCGGGGCGGGGGTTGGGCAGGGCCGGGGTGGAGGGCTAGCTCTCCTGAGGCTCACGTCTGCGTTTGAGGCCAGGCTTGGGTAGCCGTGTCTTCAGTTCACCCACCCGGGTCATTCTCCAGTGCAGGTCTGACGTCCCTCTCGGAGCAGCCCCTCTGTCCCCACGGGTCACGCCAGCACTTGATCATTGATTCCACCCTTCTCGACGCTGGTCTTCACTTCCACAACCGCTCTTGTAGCTCCGTCCTTCCAGACGTTTGCTTCTATCGACTCCGTTCATTTCTGACCCTTCTGTGTAAACAATACGAATCCTCACGTGGGACGACCGAGATGGTGGTGGTCATCCCCACTTTGAGCCTTTGCCGTGAGCCCTTTGTGTCAGCCCTTGGGGACTCCCGTGTTGCCGCCTGGGCCCCGCCTGTGGGCTGTTCCCTCGGCACATTGGGGTGTATTTTAGTCACGCGGGAGCCAGCACCACCCAGGGTGACCCATCAGCCCCTCTTCCCTGGCTCCCGCGGCACCTGGGGTTCCTCTTCTGACCTTAGAAAGGCCCAGAAAGCACGATTCAAGGGGTGTGCCTTTGTGTCAAGGGCCGGATGGTAAATATTTGGGGCTTCGGGGTTTACCGTCTTTAACAAAACTGCCACGTTCTGCCGCCTTAGCTCATTTGTAGACCAGATATACGCACGTGTGTATTGCCGTGTTCCCCAAATACTTCCTTCACAAAAAGAGGCCGTGGGCTGCATTTGGCCTGCATTTGGCGACCACTATCCTAGAGGAATCCTTTCTCGCTGCCACTGGCCTGTTTGGGAGCCCTTGGGGAGGGGGCGCCTAAGCTCTAGATGGTCACGGTTATCACCTGACACCGTCCCTTGCCGTTTCTTCCCTTTGAATCTTTGTGGACATCTGTGACCCGCCAGTCAGAGTCCTGCTGGTCATACCTCAGAGCTTCTGGGGTCTGTCCCCACCGCCTGGTCCCCTTTGGTCCTGTTCTAGAGCATCGCTCTTCTCCCCGTCTGGTCCTGCTCTTCCTAGTCTGCCCCTCACGTCGCCAGATCCACAGCGGGGCCGCGTCTGCCGGGCCCGGATCCTTCCCTGCCCCCTGTGGTCTGCTGGCTGGCCCGCTCTGTGCTCGCTGAGCACGCCACCCCGAGGGCACACGAGAAAACCCGGGTTCGGACACGGAGATCCTTTCCTGACGGTAAGCGGGGGAGCCGAGCCCCACGGCCAAGCCAGCGCCCTCTCCCCAGACGCCCCCGCCGTGTTCTCAGCACAGTGGCTCACCCTCCCTCCTTTGTGCGTCGGCTTGCAGGCCACCTTCTCCCGCCACTGTGGGATTTCTCCGTGTGCTTTCTGTTCAGCCTTGTTTCCTTGAGTCGGCGTTACCGCAGATGTTTCCTTTCAGACCGGCACCTCACTTCTCCTGTTTTTAAGTAATGCGGCGTCCCTGTCCACACGGCAGTCTCCTCCAGAAATCCTTTCTTCGGGTAAATTCACACGACAGGTGAAACGAGCTGCGTCTCGTCTTGAGTGTCTTGTCCCCCTCGCGGCACGTCTGCCTTCCCACCAAGGCCCCGTGTGCAGTGCACGATTGTGCCCAGGGGTTGGCCGTGCTGAGCTGCTGTCTGGCCAGCAAGCGCCGTCATTTCTCACTGCTGGAGCGCCTTCCGCTGGCGCCTCGGGGCGGAGCAGATCGCAGAGCGATGGGTGGGTCCAGCACCTCCTAGCGGCCTGCCCCTTCTGTGGATGGGGACCACCCGGTCAGAGTCGGCAGCCCTCTTGCCGATACTGTTTTGTTCATTTGCTTTCGGTGTCCACGTGACCAGTCACGGAAGATCGTCTGCTGGCCTGGGTGCGTGGTGGCCAGTCAGCCATGTGTCATCGTTGACCAGGTTGTCCCCACGGCGTCCGTGTGTTTGCTGGCTGTGCTCACCCCTACCTGAGAGCGTTGCTTGGATCTCTAATTGATTGGAAAACATCACCACCGGTCCAGGTCCTGTCGAGTCCGAGACTCGACAACATCCATCATCTTCACAGATGTTTTTGTGCCAGCGGCCGCAGGCACAGTCGTAGTTCTTTGGCTCTTTGTGTTTTTTTTTTTTTTTATACTTTTTTTTGTTGCACATCCTGTTCTCTAGCGGCTTTCAGTCATCCACGAGAGGGGGCTCTGCCCCAGGGGCTGGTCCCGGAAAGCTCTCTTCATGTGAGAAAGCTGCGGGGTGAGAGGGAGGAGGTGACTCCGGGGCCGCCGGCGGGCACTCTGTCTTTCATGCCGACCACACTGTGGGCAGGGTGGCCACTGTTTTGGGGACACTCGGGTGCCCAGGGCAGATGCAGTACCACGCACAGGGGTTTTTTCTTGGTTGGATTTGAGAGGCACTTAGGGTCGATTTTCTGTGGTTTTGTCGCCTCCTCCTCCTGGAGGGCCTCCTGAACCCCCCTGATCCCGGCAGGTGCGACTCCTCTTCGGTTCTTTCCCTGACTGGGCCGAGGGGTGGACGAGCCACCTCATGTCGGTTCCACAGCAGGCCCTGCGGGCTCAGACCCGGGGCTCCCTTCTGTACGGTGTGGCCCACGTCCCCGCTGTCCTTTATCTGACCTGTGTGCTTCTTGGCGTCTCAGAATAGTGGCCCACGAGAAGAGCCTTCTTTCTGTTGAGCTGGCGGCTCCGCCTGGGTTTCTGGCCGATCCCAGCGAGCACGTTGGTGCACGTTGGTGGCAGCCGGCCGCCCCTTCGTGGCGCACGGGCATTAGTTCAGGGCTCGGCGCTGCCCAGCCGCCCACCTGTCCTCAGCCGCTGCAGCCATAGATTTGCTGCTCTGGACGCTTCACACAGACGGTACCAAACAGCGTGTGGCCTTCTGCGTGTGACCTCTCACACCGAGCATCGCGTCTTCTTTGTGCATTCACGTCACTGCGGGCGTTAGAGCCTCGTTCCCTTGTGTGGCTGTCACCGTTCTGTTGTCGGTACGACCCGGGCTTGTTCGTCCTCTGCCCAGCGGACCCTAAAGCATCCTTAGTAGCGATCTCCTGTGGGAATCCAATGAGACCTTGCGTCTTTGTCAGGAGAACCTTGAGGAGCAGTTGACCGGTGGTGTTAGCAGTCCCCGGCTCCTCGCAGCCTGTGCGAGGTTTGGAGCTTTTGTTTTAGATCGTTTATTCGAGGTCTTATTTTCTAGTTGCTAATATATCGTAGTTTTCCTTGCCTGGTGGTTTAATCACACGTGGGTGAACGTTGCGACTTTGGAAAGGGGTCTCCGAGGAGAGGCCGGAGAGAGCAGTCGTGAGGACAGTGGAGGCTCAGGTGCACCGGTCACGGCTCTGTGAGGCGACATGAGAGCCACCAGACTGCTGGGGCTGGGCCGATACGTTGTATCCAAGTTCGCTTGCAGCTGCCGTGGAACTTGGGTAGTATGGAAGGGTTCTCTCGCGTCTCAGACCTCAGCGCATAGGTGGTCCAGGCGGATGCCAGGGACCTAGGGCCTGCCCTCCTTCTGCGTTGCCGTCCCTGCATGCTGTCTGGGTCCAGGACGGCTCCAGGCAACAACTCAGCAGGAAAGAGAGGTGTGTGAAAGGGACACGTTCTGTCCCGAGTTTGTTTTCAGTCATTTCAGGAGCTTCTGGAAGCCTTCTGCTCACACCAGAGGCCAGGACCTAGGGTGCGGGCAGGGATGTGTGGCGTCTGACCCGGATGCATCGCTTCCCCATGAAGGGGGTCTGTTGCTCAGGAGTTGGGTGTCAATACTTGTAATCGTAGGGGCTGTGGCTCCTCTTCCGTGTGGCCCGGGGCCCGGGGCGGGCTGGTCAGCGGTCAGAGATGGTCCGACACCCCACCTCCCCGGTCCTGGGACTGCCGGCCTCACACAGAGCTCGGACGGATTCTGTGTGTGTGCAGAGAGATGCGTGACAGATTGAGTGGTCACGCCTACCCCCCTCCCCCCCGCCTCCCCGAAGCTGGCCACACCCCCCTCCCGGTTTCTCCTCCTGGGGGCCATTGCGCTGCCTGGACATCACTCATCTTCTAGCCCCTCCCCGGGTTTCTTGTTTAACTTCTCACGTTGCAGATTTGAAAAGCGGCCCTGTGTTCCTGTGGGCTCGCCACTCCGTGTCCCCGGAGTCGACGTCCCGCACACCCCTCCCTGCCACGAGCTGGCCGACCCCGGCGTGTGTGTCTTCCCCCCTAACGCTGTCCGTCCTTCGTCTTTCAGTGTTCTCCCGTGGACTGAAGAAGTCGTCCCAGGAGCTGTATGGTCTGATCTGCTATGGCGAGCTGCGGAAGAAGGTTGGGGGCTGTGAGTATGGGGCTCCAGGGGGTCCCCGCACATGTGGCTGCTCCTCACGGGGCCTCCCGGACCGTCGCCGTTGGGTCTTTACTGCCACGGCTCTTCTTTCCCCGACTTGACTCTTGAAAACGTCTTACGTGCGGTGCGCTGGCGAGCACCACGGCCCCACAGACCCTCACTTTCCCTCTGGCCGGCGTGTCGTTGACATTGGCCACGTCCGTGCACCCCTCCCCACACGTGCGCGCCCTCTCGCTCAGGCGTCCTAGACCCAGGCACGTTGTCATGCGTGCCCGCCTTCCTGTCACCACTCGACGTGCTGCCGTCTTCCCTAGTACCCGTCCGCGTTCAGTTTTCCCGGAAAACCCAACACACCTGTCCGGGCGCCAGTTGGGGACGTGGTCCCACCTGAGCCTGTGGCACCCCTTGGGCCCGTAGACGAGAACAGCCTCACGTTTGGTCTCCCGAGACACTGGTACTTGGGAGGGTCCAGGTCCCTCCGCGGGTGTCTCGGTGCTCGTCTCCTTGCACCCAGATTTCCGATAGACATCGGCTGCTCTGGCCTTCCTGGGGCACCGAGCAGCTCGTGGCCGACCTTGCCTCCCCGTGTGACCTCCGAGGAGAGGGGCGCGCTGGTCTCTTCAGGTGCCCCTGGCCACCGTCGCACGGGGGAAGAGCGCTCACCCGCAGGGCTGCTCCCGAGGCCCCATGAGACTGTGCGAGGGGGCCGCTCAGAGGGGGCAGCGGGGCAGGGGCGTGGAAGCAGCAGAGGAGGGGGGGACGGGCGTTTATGGATTGCTCCGCATAGGCCAGCCTGGCTCCCCGCCTGTGTCCTCTGGTGGGTGGTGTGTGGGGCCCCTTCTTTGTCCCTGCCGTGCCCATGTCTCAGCCAGTCTGACTTTGCGTGATGCTGGCCTTCCTCTGTCAGCGCCTTGCTCCCTAACTTTAGGCGGCTTACCGTCACCCTCCCTGGCTATCGCAGGATCCCCTGCACTTGGACCTCAGCCCCTCTTCCTGCCGCCCTGCAGCTCAGCTGACCCAGTCCTGCCGGTGGTGCCTCGTCGGTTCCTCCCAGCCCAGTTGAACGTCACACTTGCACGTTCTCTCGCACACGCACCCCATGAGGCCCTGCCTGAGCGCCCCACCCCCCACAACACTCCCCCGACGGGTCCATTTGCGGGGACACCGTCGTGTCGTTTTGTGAGTCTGCAGGGAAGGGCAGGCTTCGGGGTACTGCCTCGTGCGGGGCACCCCCAGGCCACAGCCTCTTGTGACTGCTCGTTGGGAGCCGCTTCCGGGCTGTGCACGAAGCGTGCTCAGGGCATGCCAGCGGTGGACACGCCTGTTTCTCCCTGAGTTCTCTAGACTCACGAATCCTGAAGCAGCGGACGTGGTGTCTCTGCTGTGTTCCTGGGATCCGGACACGCACTGCTCGTGTCTAGCATCGTGGCAGCTCCTGTCCTGGGCGTTGTCCCTGGGGCTCAGGACGCTCCAGTTGGATGAAAACGAGTGACCGTAGGCTCCTTGGCCATTAAGTGACAGGTTTTCTTGCCCCCAGGACTGAGTCTCACACGGGGGCTTTCTGTGACAGGGGCTGGTGTTGGGGGGCCCGGGAGACACCCGTGTGTCTGGGCAGCTTTTCTTTGCAGGGCGGCTGCTTGGCTGCGCACCTGCCTCCCCCTGCCGCGCCTCTTTCCCAGCAGCTGCTCCCTCTGCGCCATTTCCCTTCGGTCTGCGGGGCTCGCGCTGGTCTTTCTCGCCACGCGGTTGTCGTGTGTGGCTGTGAATTCTTTCAGTGGTGAGTCATCTGTAAAGCTTTATGTTGTTTTCTTTTTCCTTTTCTTAACCTTTTTTTAACATTTATTTTTGAGAGTGAGAGCGAGGGAGAGAGCAAGAGAGAATCCCAAGCAGGCTCCACACTGTCAGCTCACAGCCCAGCGTGGGGCTCGAGCCCACGAACCGTGAGATCATGACCTGAGCCGAAATCGGGAGACGGACTCTTAACCGACTGAGCCACCCAGGAGCCCTTAGGTTGTGTTCGTTCTCGAAAGGTGTTTTTGCCGGATGTGGAGCTCTGGTTTGATAGTTTTCCCTGTCTTCACTTTGAAGCTGTTATTCCCCCGTCTCTGGCCTGCGCTGTTTCTGGTGAGAGGCCGCTGACTGTTGTGTCCTCGCGCCTCTGGAGGGGATGCGCCACATTTCTCTGGCTGCTCTAAGGATTTTGTTCTTGTCTCGCTTTTCCGCCTGGTTGTGTGTTTATGGTCTGTTAATTTCATTTCCCCAAAACGTACAGAAGGGTCCAAAGAATTTTGCAGTGACCCTCAAACCCCCACCACCTCCGCGTGCTCTCTGTCCCTGTGTCTTCCGTTGAGGACAGCAGTAACCCTGGGAGGGCAGAGGAACGTGGCGTCTGCTCTAGTGAACGCACAGGGTCTCGGTTTGTCATTCGTCCACCCCGGGCACCTAGGCATCCACGACCGACGATACCGGGCCCAAGGATGGCACATGCCCAGGGGGAGAAGTGTGCCTGCCGGGTGCCCTGAGAAGCGAGTCTCTGAGCTCGGAGGCTAGGGATGAGGAGAGGCACAGCGTGCCAGGGGTCTGGGCAGGAGGCAGGCAGCGCTTGCTTCCCCTGAGAAAGTCCCGAGGGAAGGAGGGCCGTGCAGGTGCCGACGGCACCTTCAGCACCGGCTTTGCCGGAGGAGCCGCGGCTGCCGGAGGGGTTGTGTTTCGGAAATCCCTGAATGTTCTGTAAAGGAACTGGGGTGTTTGCTTTCTACTTGAAGATAACAACCTGGGACCGTTTACCCAGTTTGCTCCGAACTACTCCACGCTCACGTTTATTTATTTTGCATTTAGGTATGGACGACAAGAATGCCACGAAGCTGAACGAGCTCATCCAGGCGGGGTGAGTAGGTCCGTCTCGGGGAGTGTTGCTGTTGTGTGGACGCGTGTGCCCTTCCCTGAGATGCAGAGCTGAAGATGCGTAGGGTTTTCTTCCCTTTGCTCGCCGAGGTCCCTGAGGTGCTGACCTCCCCAGGGTTCAAGCTGATAGCCTCTCAGAGCCCCGGGAGAGCAGGGAGACTTGGCCTGGGCTGCTCCCTGTCTCGTTCTTCCCTCGGGTCCCCCACGGGGGTGGCAGCGTCCACGCGGCCCTCCCCGCCTCACGTTCCCTTCCCCACCTCGTGTTGGGGAGTGCCTTCTCCTCTCACCAGAGCAAGCCCTGTCCCACTTTCCTGTCGCCCTCCCGGTCCCTTTCCTGTGCTGCCCCTTCCCGCACCTGCTGGGGCTCTGTGCCCCACGAGGCGAAGCCAGGTCTGATGCTACTGCGTTCTGCCCTCACCCTCAACGGCGTCCGGGAGCTTGGGGTTCTCCTGTTTGCTTAGCCCAACTGCAGAGGCCGTTCCTGCCACGGAGGTGGCACGTGGCCCCTGCCACGTGCCCCATCTCCCGTCGTCCCAGTGGCACCGTGTGCTTTGCCCCCTGGCCCCGACTCCGGTGTTGGCCTTGGAGCCCTCCTGCACTGTCAGCCTTGCTAGGTGATCCCGGCCCCCAGCCAAGTGTCTGACTCGCGGCTCTCCAGCCCTGTAACTGCCCGGTCTTCTCTCCTCATTCGCCCCTCCTGGGACCATCCCAAGGGCGTACTGAGCTCTGTGCCCCTGCGTGCTCTCCGTGGGCCGTGTCAGTGCTCCCCGGGGCTTCTGTCCCCGTTTGTGGGTGAGGGATTCCAAATCTAACTTGTCCCCAATTCTGTGCCTCGATTTATAAATCCCGTCATGTCCTAGACGTCTCCTGGGCCCCAGCTGGAAGTCTCTGGGAGTTCTTTCTGGGAAAGGCCCCGACCCCACACTCTCAGGTCTCCCCTGGCCACCGCTTGCTCTTTTCCCGTCAGGTGGAGGCAGTGTGGCCCCTCGGCCTCTCATAGCTGCTCCAGCCGGTGCCCTGACCACCCCCGTTCGGCGGTCTGCAGCTTCTGTGTGCGTGCATTTCTCCCTCGGCCTGGGCCCCGTCACCGGCTGCCGTGTCTGTCACCCCGCCCCGAGCTCGTGTACTCTCCCCAGATCCCTGCTCCTTGTCTCAGCTGGACTCACCTGCCGTCCCCAGCCCCCTGCTGGTGGAGGGCTGGTCGGCCCTGCCACCTCTGCATTCACGGCTTTCCCGCACCCAGGTCCCTTTTCTCCCTGATTGTGTTGTCGGGTGGTCTGCAGGCCCATCCCTCAGGTGTGAGCCCCTGACGGGTGGGGCCAGCCGTGTGACTTCTGCTCTGGCTCCAGCCCGGCGTCTTCCCTTACAGGTGCCCCTGTTCAGTTCTGGGGGCTTATTTCTGTGAACAGGCCCGATGGTAACTAGGCTTTGCGTATCACCGCTGCTCCGGCTAGCCCCGACTCACCCGCTGCCCCCACCCTGTGCCGGGGAGTGCGGGTCACCTTAAAAATTCGTCTTTGGGCAGAGGGAGCCTCCTGGAGGCCACCAGCTGTGGCCTTGTGGGTCATTTGGCTCCCCTCCCCCGCCAGCCGCCTGCTACAGTTTCTGAGTTTTGTAGGCTCTTTGAACGGCTTGTGTGCACCCAAGGAGCCTTGGACGGCAGGCGAAGTCCTTGGTCGAGGTGGTTTCTGACGCTACCGTCTGCCCAGCAGGCGAGAGCTGCCCTGCGGCGGTGTGCTGTCCCCGGATGCGATTTTGGGGGAGCTCTCACTCGACCTTGTACCTGAGTCGCCCGAGTCGTTGGCTGAGACTCTTCCTGGTTCTTTCTGTTCAGGGCGTGTGTGGCCAGTTTGATGGCAAAGCCAGTTCGTTTGGCTCTGTCTTAGGCTCTGTCTTGGTCTTGCTGGGAGGGCCCGCACGGGGAGAGGGTGGGCTCCTGGGCTTCTGGAAAGGCACGCGGGCCTGATGCCTCATGGTTGATCTGATGTGAGGAAGGCGTGTTTTGATAAGTTTGAAAGCGTCCAGAGGATCACTTTTAGGAGCTGCCAGAGATTGGAGAGCCCCAGGCCCTGAGCTGGGGGTCCGAAGGTCCAGGTAACCTCAGACACGGCACCGGGCGCCCTCGGTCTCAGTGAGGAACCATCACAGTAAAGCCCAGAGGTAACGTGATGGTCAGGATTATTCTGGACAAGCAAGGATTCCTGTTTGCTTTGAATGTTTACAGTTGGGTTATGACCCGTAAATATTAAACACGCATGAGTCTGGACCGATGCCGTCGGTGATTGGGTGACTCTGTGGGGGACAAGGGATGAACTTCCCACGCAAGGTTCCACATAATTTGCGTAGAACCTCCGCCTGCTGGGAGGGGAGCGTGGCTCCTTCCCTCTCGGGTATGGGCTGCGCGCGGGAGGTGGGAAGGAGCCAGATGGGACACCACCTCACCCCGAGAACAAGGTCAAGGCTGACAGTAGCAGGTCACGTTGAGGGCGTGAGAGGGTGTCTACCTTCCAGTGTGAACTCTCTGAATCCACAGGTGTGGGGCTGCAGCCGGAGTCCCCCGGCAGCAACTTCCCTCCCTGAGCCGTGCTGCCAGGGGACCGCTGCAGGGATGCCCTCGGAACCTCCTTCCTGCACAGCCCTGTGAGTGCGTGGTGACCCCACCCAGATCCAGAAGGGGGGTCAATGTTTAACGCCCGCCTCCCTAGATGCCTTGTACCACCCCCGTCTGCTCAGGAGAAGAAGGAAGGCAGACAGACAGTCACAGTGGTAGGCATGAGTGGAGAGGCTTTAGCTTCGGCCATCCACAGTGGGTGTTTGCAAACAGTGGGAGCTCGGTGCGTATGCCCTCTGACCCCACCCCACTTCTAGAGAGCGGTCAGATCAATGGGCAAGCCACGCTTGTAACATCTCAGATTGGCTCTCGCTAGCAAGAGGGCATCACAGAGAAGACCAGTTCCTGGGCGGGACATAGGGACCTCTGTTCTTTTTCTGGAAGTGAGGCGGGGTGTGTGCGTGGCTGCGTGGCCACGGTGAGGTGGCTCGATGCGGGGCTCCCACCTCACACTGGGGTTCTCTTTGTACCCCCGTTCTTTTTTTTTTCAAGGTTTTTTTTTTTTTTTTTTAACATTTATTTATTTTTGAGACAGAGAGAGAGAGAGCATGAACAGGGGAGGGTCAGAGAAAGAGGGAGACATAGAATCTGAAACAGGCTCCAGGCTCTGAGCTGTCAGCCCAGAGCCCAACACGGGGCTCGAACTCACGGACCGCGGGATCATGACCTGAGCCGAAGTCGGACGCTTAACCGACTGAGCCACCCAGGCGCCCCTCAGGGTTTGTTTTTGAGAGAGAGAGCGTGAGCATAGGAGGGGCGCAGAGAGAGGGAGACACAGAATCCGAAACAGGCTCCAGGCTCTGAGCTGTCAGTACAGAGCCCATCCTGGGGCTTGAAGTCAGGAGCTGTGAGATCATGACCTGAGCCAAAGTCGGACACTTAACCAGCTGGGCCACCCACACAGTGGGGCGTCCCCGTTCTTGACTTGACACGTGTCTTTTGTTATTTGAGTCTTTAACAATAGCTTCTTTGTCTATTTAGGAGAGAAAAGTTCCATGTTGGGGAAAGGTGTTCTTTTTTATTAGCTTTAAATTGCTATAATCACATTTGTTCTGTGGAGCTATGTTTATAAAACGTATTTGTCTGTATTTCTGGCAGCGAAAACGTAACATCCGTGGCTTCAGCCTTGACTGGGCCTCATCGTGCATGGGTGCTGTCACTGCCTGGTGGTAGGACCGTCTAGGAGCCCCTGGAGGGCTGTGGGGTGAGGGAGACCCCCCCAGTGCTGGTCTCCCTCCGGGACGGGTAGGAGCCAGCTCTGGCGCAGAGCTCGTGAGGCCCTGGGCTGCGGCAGGTTCAGCACAGGGTGTGGTACCCTGGCTCCTGCTTCCTTCTTCCTTCTTCCTCCTTCCTCCTGGCCCCATCACCGCGGCTGTGACTGGGGGTGGGGCGGTGCTCGGGAGAGTCGCCGGAACGCAGCTGTGGGTGGCAGGCTGCACGCCTCACTGGGATCCGGGTTTCTGACTGCCGTTTCCTCCTGCTGCCCCATCTGGGACGCTCCCTCCGTGCCCTCGGTGACGGGCTCTTGCTCGTCCCTCAGCTGCGAACTGGGCCGCCCCTCCCTAGCCCTGGGACTCCGTGAAGTCTGGATGTGACGCGTCTTTCGCGTGTGACTGGTCAGCACGGCACTCCATCCAGCGCTGCGGGTGTTCACCTGTCAGGCCCTTTACCGGTCCGTCAGGGTTCCCCGGGCTCCCCTCCCTGCCCCCCCCCGCCCCCCGGCAGATCCCAGGCGGAGAAGTACATCGACGCCAGGTGCTGCCAGCTGCTTTGTTTGCTTGGACAGACGAGTGTCGCACACCAAACTCGCCTGTGTCTAAGAAGCAAGACGGTCACTCTGTTGGCCTTCCAGGCAGTTTATCGTGAAAAAGTTTAAACATCGGAAAGGTTGGAACAGAGGTATGGCAGACAGCTCCTTACCCTTCACCTGGATTTACCAGTGCAGGAGTGCATCCAGAGTGTGCACGCGTGTGGGGGCGTGTGTTACTTGTCCTGTTGTGTTTTAATGTGTCTTTTTCCCCTGCTGGACTGTGGACTCGTCTGTGGTCCGTGCCGCGTGCCGCGTGTCGCTGTCAGTAAGTGGGTTTTGAGCTGACGTCTTCAGTATGTGTGCCCGTGTCTCACGATGGCCCGTAAACAACAGTGAAGCGTGCAGTGTCTTGCTTTGCCGTTCCGGCATCCTGCAGAGTAGTGTCACTGTCCCGGGAGTCCCCCATGCTCCCCGGTCGTTTCCCTCCTCCCTGCTCCTGGTGACCTCCCACCTTTACTGTCTGCACAGCTGCCTTTTCCAGAATGTCACTGAGTTGGTGTCATACAGCAGACGTCCTTTTCAGACTGGCTCCTTTCACTTGCTCTTCTGAGTTCCAAGAAGTGTGCAGAGTTGGGTACCACCCCGATCCAGATACGGGCGGCTCCGTCACCCCCACACCCCCTTGTGGCCGCCTCCCACACCCAGCCCCGGCAGCTCCTCAGCTGCTCTCTGACCCCTGTGGTCCTGCCTTTCCCGGAACGCCATCCAAATGGGGTGATGCCATGTGGCCTTCGGAGGTTGGCATCTTCCACTCAGCGGTACTCTCTTGAGATCGGTCCCTGTGGGTCCGTAGTTCATGCCTTTTCCTGCAGAGCAGTGTCCCTGCTGCGCCGTCCTCTGGTCTGTCCCCTGGTGAGGAACGTGGACTGTTACACAGAAGGAGCTGCTCTAAACCTTCGCCTGCGGGTGTGTGTTCCGTGTCGCCTGGGCAAGTCCACAGGTGAGCATGTGCCGCTCCGTGGGGAGATGGCGTGCCACTCTCCAGTGACCGTCCTGGGCGCTGCCCATGCCCTGCATGCTTGGCGTGGCAGCTGTCCTGAGCCGTCCTTGGGGACGGGCAGCAGCATCTCCCAGTGGTGTTGGTGCGCGTTTCCCTGGCGACAGACCACATTGAATGTCTTGTGCTTGTCCTTCTGTCTCTGGTGATGGGCCTGCTCAAATCTCATGTCCGTTTCCTTATTACTGAGTTTAGAAAGTTCTCCAGGTGTCATCTGATGGGGTTCGTGAGCAAACAGCTAGGAAAGAATTCTCGAGACGGCTTTGGTGCAAAAAGGTGATTTTATTAAAGCAGGGGGCCAGGACCCGTGGGCAGAAAAAGCCGCACTGGGGTTGTGAGGAGTGGCTGAGTATATGCTTTTAAGTTAGTGGGGGTTAGGGACAGGGTGAGTCTCTAAGGAATTTGGAAGCAGGCTTTCAGGACCTGGAGGGGCTAGTTCCTGTTAGGCTAAGGTAGCTTTTAGTCCTTAATCAAACAGAAACGTTAAGGCAGGAAGGCTGCCATGAGTTCCTCGCAGAAGGTCACAGGCGTGCTCCGGGTGTTAGGGGGCTGCGGGCCGTCAAGAGGCTTACCTGAAACTGCATTTTTCTTGCCTCTGTTTCCCTCCTCGCAGACACGAGCCTCGTGTCAGATAGGCGGCGGGCAGTGTTTTCCCCTGGTCCGCGGCTTGTCCCGCTTTCGTGGTGCCCACGGCAGGGCGAGGTGCCCGGTCCCGCCGGGGTGCCGTCCGCCATCTCTCTGTGCAGGCCGTGACCTCTGAGTCTCGTCCGAGAACTTCGTGTGCCCGAAGGTCACGCGCTGCTGCGTGTCTTTGTATGCAAGTCTTATGGTGGGAAATTTTGGTCCGTGATACGTGACGTGCCCTTTATGCCGGGGTGGGTCTTTGTGGGCTGTGTGACCGCTTACTCCAGCTCCATCTGTTGCAAGCACTGTCCTTCCTCCCTTGGCTCTTTTGCGCCCTTGTGTGAAGCCAGGGGCCTTGCTGTGTGGGTCTGTCTCTAGGTTTCCCTTGTGTCCCCCTGCCTGATGTGTCCATTCTTCCAGCAGCAGACCCTGGTTCCCACAAACAGAGCAAATGGCCCGTAAAGGTGAAGTAGGTGGGGGGGGATCTGTACGGTGCCCGTGGAGAACTGCAGCTTTATTTAAGGCCGGAGCTCGTGGGGCATTTATTTAAGTGCCTTCCCATCCTTGCTTCTCATGCAGGCTTTGTTCGGTGAACTGTGGGTGTCCTTTCATTACAGATCTGTGGGACTCGGGAGCAGACGGGCTGAGGAGAGCTCTGAGGTCCCCTCTCCCTAGAATGGTTGCAGGCGGGCAGCATAGACTTAGCACGCGCTTTCTGGGTTCATCACGTGATTTTGCAGACAGGAAAGCCAGGCTCCTGTGCATGTACGTGTAGAGAAATTAGCTTGTTGCCTGTTGTGTCAAAGTGACGACAGGGGGGCGGTTTGCATGGAGCCCTCTGTGTGAACCTGTCGGACGGCAACCTGTGAGTCTCGTGCAGACGCCGAGCCCTGGGGTGCTGCTGCCTGGCCTCCCAGAGCCGAGCTCAAGTACAGCTTTGCCCCTGCAGGCTCTGGCCTCAGGCCACTCATAGAACTTCCATTTGAGAGAATAGGGAAGGGATTGTAATCTCAGAATGTTCTGGTCCTACCAAAGGCTGCTCAATTTCACTTAAAAAAAAAAAAAAAAAAAAAAAAAAAAGGAAGTCTCAAAAGAGCTGTTTAACGGAAAATGTGATTATCGCAAGCGCAGGTGCCCCCTGGCAAGGCCCCTCCTGCTCTGTGTTGTTGGTTTGGCACAGACGGAATGAGAAGTGACGGGCAGAGAGGCCCGCCAGCCCCAGAGCTGTCGCTGGGGAAGGGCCGGGACTGAGGCCATCTGTGGCACGCCCCCGGCCGCACGTGGCCACCTCCGTTTCCAGGACTGAGATGATTATACTGCACGTGTTTGGTCTCAGTGGAGCGAGGGGCACGTTCTGCGTAGACGCCGTCTGAATCGTGCCACCTGACACAGGGGAGGAGGCCTCCTGGTGTCCCCTGGTCTCTGGGCAGCCTGCCCGTCCTCAGTGCCGCTCGTGGCATCCTGCATCGGATTCCCGGCACAGGGGGCCCAGCGGTACGCTGGGGGCGCCGGGTACAGAGGCGGAGTCCACGGGCGTGTTGCTGCTGGAATCCTTGAACTTCCTGTTCGAGCGGGCTGTCTCCAGCCGTCAGCCCTGCCCCACGTCGCGCCTCCCGCTTGGCCCTAGAAACACTCAACGGGGGGCAGTGGTGAAGTCTGCCCTTTAGGGGACCCGTGTTGGAAATTTGAGCGGCTTCCTTGCCAAGGAGGAGGGGCGTGCGGCCCTGTTTCCTCAGAGGCAGAGGCTGGGACGTGCTGTGGCGTGTGCGATGTGTGTGCCCCCCAGCCGCGCCCCACTGCGGGGTGCCCTTGGCCTTCGGAGCTCCCATTTCAGGGCGATACTGTGTAAAGCTACGTGAGTGGTGTGCCAGTACGACCTTGTAAAAACGTCAGTGGTGCACACCCTCAGTGTAAAACAGAAGCGGACCCCAGCCCCCCACCCCCTTCCCTCTCCAGAAGTAACTGTGCGCAGATTCCACGTGTGTCCTTCTGAGGTCGGTGCGTACAGATAGAAATCCGTCACTTTTTTCACATCCTTGGAAGCACACCGCGTGCGTTCTGTAACTTTTTCACCGAGGTTTTCTCAGAAATGGCAAGGACAGAGCAGCTCTCCTGGAGGGGGTCCCAGCTAGCCAGCATTCGAAGAACTGGTTAACGCACAGTCGTAAACGGTATACAGACCTTGACCATTTTTCCAAAATGAAAACCGCTTTCGCTCACTGGCATCGGGTAGCTCGTTCCGGAGGTCCGTGTTTTGTATGGCAGCTCCAGCCAACGTGCATCCTTTGTGACTTTCCGGAGGCAGAGCGAGAGAGCAGCAGGGCCCAGGGCAGTGGCGCTGCAGCGTCTTTCGGACTTGTCCTGCCCGCGCGTGACTTCACTGCCGCTTTGCAGAGCATTCTTTTTTTTTTTTTTTTTTTT